CATCCATATTTAATACATTGATGCAAGATACAATAATATTATAGTAAAATTACAGTAAATTTTATAATAATTATTACATCTTTTGGAGTTCAAATCGGTTTCTAAAATGCAGTTCAGTAGCTGGACAATTTTCTACTACCCATGCTGATCCATTTTTTCCTTTAACAATAGCCGAAACTATTCCTTTCGCTAGGACTTCAGGACTGAAAAGGAAAACAAAAAATTATGCACATTTATAGGCAATTTCAGAACTAAAACTTTGCATCTAAAATTGTTTAAATCGATCAAATCATTGTAAATTTAATGACAAGTGCATTTTTCAGTTTCAGTGAATAAAACTTATGTAATAACGCACTTGTCAGATAATTATTTTGTATTTATTATTCAAAGGAAGGTGACGTAAAAAGTAAAAAGTCATCAAACGATACACATATAAACATTTAATGTATTAAATTTACATTTTCGTAAACAAGCTAAATTTGTAAAGAGGTTAATGTGTAAAGTAATACGTTCTGAAATATCTTTATGAGTATTTACAAACATGCTTGCATCTTTGTGTAGCACTGATTGTGAGATTAGAAATACAAAAAGCAATGAATTTGCAAATCATGCTTTTGACGTTTTTGAAAAAGGAATGCAAACTTACTGTTTTAGAATGAGTAGTAACAGTTATTGAACAATTATGCAATATTGTTCCTAGAAGTTATTAACGTTAACGTTTAATAGATAAGTAGATAGTCTATTTTACGTTTTCATTTTTCGTGTGATTAATATTTACGTTTTTACCAACTTATAGTAACATGTATTTGACGTTATGTAGCAACTTTTGTATTTAAATTGTACCGATTTATATCTAAACGTAAAACTGGGCATCAACCCCCCCCCCCTCCGCATGTACTTCAGACCCCCTCCCTCTCTACAAGACGAAGTGGTTTATTATCAGCCCCTTGTGTGAGAATAAATGAGAAACAACGGTCAGCATCCCGTGGAAAAAACAATAGCCAAACGCATATGCCGATAGGGGGCACACGAGAAAATACGAAGGATGACGAGGTCCTTGTTGCGGGAAAAAATTACTAATTACTAATCCGGCTTGGCAAGGTGATGGTGTGTGTGAAAAAGGACGAGAACAATCAGTGACTAAAATTATTGTAATCCGAAGCAAATAAACTTATAATCCCCACAACTGAAAAGAATATTCTACTACTCTTTATGGCTAAATAGATAGTGTTTTCAGTTTGTTGTATCTTTATTTCACCCTTAGAATTGCAACTTTAAATCAAAGTATCGGAAGCAATGCTTACGCTTGAATATTGGAATTTTTACGTGATTCTTGTAGATAATGTTTGGAAACTGGATTCATAGTTCTTCCTTCTAACTGCAGTAGTGGCGTGTCTGTAGCTCCAGGACATATGGTAATAACTTTAACATTTGTCCTCTTGTAATTAATTTCGTTTCCAATAGTTCTACTGAAATTGAGAACAAAAGCTTTTGTTCCACAGTAAACTGGAAACACATCTATCGGATCTATTCCAGCTGCAGATGATATATTAACAATTACACCTTCTTTATCCTTTTTGTATTTCGGTAGGTACTCTTCAAGTGCGAGAAGGGTACCATAAACTTTATAAAATTTTCAAAAAATAAAAAATTTTTAAAACAAGAACAAAACCGAGGCAAAGACAAACGCAAATTTCCTCCTAACTTCTTAAATTTATTTAAAAACGAGTGCTGTTAAAATTTGTGCACTTTCCCTTCTAAGCCAGCGATGTAACCAAATGGCCACATCGCTGGCCAAAATCTTCAGTCCGGCTCTGATAACTATATTCGACATTCCAAGAATAAATTTCAAATGAAACTAACGTTAACTATCCAAAATTCAAACTTCAAGAGGTGTAAGTAAACGATAAAAAATAAAAAGAAATTATTATGATTATTATTAGATATAAAATTATCTTAAAACAAATAGATAAATTTAAATATACATTTATGAAAATTGTTTTTCTTATATACCCCTTAAGGATTAGGTTAGGTTAGGTTACATCAGATTAAGATAATCTTAATCTTCATTTTTCATTTCGGGATTTGCCTAAAACGGCGTTGGTCAAACCTACATTTCGGCCTCTGACTATAGGTAACATATAAAACAAAGTTGAAGATTTTAAGTAGCTTCCATTATTAATCATTAGACATTTTTTATCTTGTTAATATTTAAATATTATTGGTGTCAGTTCTTTGACAATTAAATATTATTTAAAAATGACGATTTTTAACNAATAATTTTTTTTTTAATTAATAAACTGGGATTAATATCATATCTTTAAATAAAAAAGCGAATAATTTATTGCACAAATATACAATACCTTTATTCCATTTTTGAGCAACGATTTAACGAATTCAAGCCCAATTCCATCAGCCCCTCCGGTTACTAGGGCAACTTTATTATTTGTTACTGACATTTTTTAGAGAATGTTCACTGTCGATAAAATCACTTCATTCACTTACCTATGATGCTACTATAACACTGACACGCGAACGAAGCTATATGTACTCGCGTAAAATTTTATGTAATAGTTGCTGTTATCTCTTGTGGATAATCGAATAAATATTTATTTGAAGCTTTTGGAAATGTTATAGTTTCAATGATATGTACTTATTAGAGTTCATCGCTAAATAATTAGAATATGCAAGGCATTATTTTATCGGGAAAATTATTCTTTTTAGCAGTATAATTCAAAAGCTGAAGATTGCCAAAAAAACTAAACCCTTAGTTTGTCAATGTATGAATATATTTATATTGATGAAAGTCACAAACAGGAATCTTTAATATTTTTTAATAACTGTTTATNAGCTCATTTATATCTACAGCCAGGGGTGGGTAAAATATTATATTTTATGTATCTGAAGTACAAAATACAAAATAGGTACTAAGGTCTCTTGTACTTGAAATACAAAATACTTTTCTAGCTTGTATTTCAATACAATAATTGTATTTGAAATACTTCTTTACTAAAATTTTTGCTTCTTTTTACCTGTCATTAACGACTACATAGGGGGTTCGTCAAATTTTTTCGGACCTTTTTTTTGGTTCGCGAGGAAAAAAAGGTTGGGAAACACTGGTCTAGATGATGGCCCCCAACCCTTTCGCGGGTTGGGGTGGGGGGATCGAAAGAGGAGGTCTCCCCCACCACTGTACCATAAAAAGTTCGTGGCGGTCTCACCCCCATAAAAAGTTATGGGGGTTCAAAGTTAATAAATATGCCAATTTTTATACATTCATAGTCATTCTTAAACAATATTCAAAGGTAAAACTAATGAAAAATACATAAAAATATTGAGAAAGTTATAGGGGAAATCTTCTAAAGACACCCCCAAGGGGGGTAGTGTCGGATTCACTTCTGGTGGGAGCGCCTACCGAATAAAAACCCTTCTCGAGGTGGTGGTTCAACTACCGGGAGAAGATGGGAGAAGTTTGGGGAGGGGGGGAGGGTTGAGTGGGGGGATAGGTAAAGAGGTTGGGGAGATTGGGCTGTTCTGTTTTAATGCGCTTTCCATTAAATACCACCCCAACTAACGTCTCTAGCTACATTAAGTCCCATTGAAAAAGTCGTTTAAACAAAGAAAAAATTAAATTTCAATTCTTCGTTGGCGGATTTCCAACAAGAGGGTTGAGTTTATAAACCCCAAAAGTTTGCAATACAATCTTAATTACCAATTTTCATTAGGCAGATTGCTTGTTATAGGTACTTATTAAATTAAAATTGCTGATGTTAGTTTTTCATTTGTATAATTACGCGGCATCATTATCCGCTGGGTACCAGATCCAAATGGGGTACTCGGTCCATATCTGTTAAAAGACAAAATACGAACATTTATTCATAAAACGAATAATTATTGTGCTTCCTTTAATAAAACAATCAAGAAAGAGGTAAATTATATTCACACTACGATCATATTTAATACATTGATGCAAGATACAATAATATTATAGTAAAATTACAGTAAATTTTATAATAATTATTACATCTTTTGGAGTTCAAATCGGTTTCTAAAATGCAGTTCAGTAGCTGGACAATTTTCTACTACCCATGCTGATCCATTTTTTCCTTTAACAATAGCCGAAACTATTCCTTTCGCTAGGACTTCAGGACTGAAAAGGAAAACAAAAAATTATGCACATTTATAGGCAATTTCAGAACTAAAACTTTGCATCTAAAATTGTTTAAATCGATCAAATCATTGTAAATTTAATGACAAGTGCATTTTTCAGTTTCAGTGAATAAAACTTATGTAATAACGCACTTGTCAGATAATTATTTTGTATTTATTATTCAAAGGAAGGTGACGTAAAAAGTAAAAAGTCATCAAACGATACACATATAAACATTTAATGTATTAAATTTACATTTTCGTAAACAAGCTAAATTTGTAAAGAGGTTAATGTGTAAAGTAATACGTTCTGAAATATCTTTATGAGTATTTACAAACATGCTTGCATCTTTGTGTAGCACTGATTGTGAGATTAGAAATACAAAAAGCAATGAATTTGCAAATCATGCTTTTGACGTTTTTGAAAAAGGAATGCAAACTTACTGTTTTAGAATGAGTAGTAACAGTTATTGAACAATTATGCAATATTGTTCCTAGAAGTTATTAACGTTAACGTTTAATAGATAAGTAGATAGTCTATTTTACGTTTTCATTTTTCGTGTGATTAATATTTACGTTTTTACCAACTTATAGTAACATGTATTTGACGTTATGTAGCAACTTTTGTATTTAAATTGTACCGATTTATATCTAAACGTAAAACTGGGCATCAACCCCCCCCCCCTCCGCATGTACTTCAGACCCCCTCCCTCTCTACAAGACGAAGTGGTTTATTATCAGCCCCTTGTGTGAGAATAAATGAGAAACAACGGTCAGCATCCCGTGGAAAAAACAATAGCCAAACGCATATGCCGATAGGGGGCACACGAGAAAATACGAAGGATGACGAGGTCCTTGTTGCGGGAAAAAATTACTAATTACTAATCCGGCTTGGCAAGGTGATGGTGTGTGTGAAAAAGGACGAGAACAATCAGTGACTAAAATTATTGTAATCCGAAGCAAATAAACTTATAATCCCCACAACTGAAAAGAATATTCTACTACTCTTTATGGCTAAATAGATAGTGTTTTCAGTTTGTTGTATCTTTATTTCACCCTTAGAATTGCAACTTTAAATCAAAGTATCGGAAGCAATGCTTACGCTTGAATATTGGAATTTTTACGTGATTCTTGTAGATAATGTTTGGAAACTGGATTCATAGTTCTTCCTTCTAACTGCAGTAGTGGCGTGTCTGTAGCTCCAGGACATATGGTAATAACTTTAACATTTGTCCTCTTGTAATTAATTTCGTTTCCAATAGTTCTACTGAAATTGAGAACAAAAGCTTTTGTTCCACAGTAAACTGGAAACACATCTATCGGATCTATTCCAGCTGCAGATGATATATTAACAATTACACCTTCTTTATCCTTTTTGTATTTCGGTAGGTACTCTTCAAGTGCGAGAAGGGTACCATAAACTAGACCTTTCTGAAAATGTAGTGGTGAATATTGGTAAAAATAAGTAATAAGGGTAAACCCTTAACAAGCGCTTGACTTGTCTTGACCTGGGACCAATTATTTACACTGACTCTGATTCTGTATTTTTAATACAATACTATGAGGAATTTGGTTTAGTGGCTTTCAACATGGGAAAGTACATGAAATTTGTTAAGTGGTTACTGTCAGCTTGTCAGTTCTAACCCAGAATTACCGTGAAAGAAAATTGTGGAAACTTTTCTGCGAAATTTTTGGCTAATAGTCTTGCCAGTTATCTGTGAGGTACTAGAGTGGCATACATGTTGTAACGAATTTTCTAGCGAGTCTATTTATTTCTCGTACATATAGTTAGGGACTCGTCTATTTCTAAATTATTATTTTATTATTAATATAAAGTATATTGATTTCAATCAATGTGTATGGTGCTTTTGTAATATTTTCTATTAACAGTTGAAGAGTGTATGATTGTTTGTTTTAATTTCATTTAGATCATACGATGCTGCCGATATGATTTATTGAATTTCAATTACTGTTGCGATATGATAAGTATTTTTTTCCTGTTATGAAAAACNTCCGAAAATAATTTTGAAATATATAATAATAAGTATTACAGCAGTTGTTACCCTTAAACCATTTTTAAATAGTTCTTTAATCGTTATTAAACCTATTCCTGAAGCACCACCAGTAACCAAAACGACTTTTCCTTCAATCGAAAACATGATAATAATGTCCTTGTAGATACAAAGTTTCACTTTTTTATTTTCACACACGTGCAGCAGTCATATACTTACATAAATATGAAACAAATTGAGTCCTTTTTGCATATATATGATAAGTTATGTTTAAATTATTTTTAGGCATAAGTTACAAAATATTTTCGATGTTTTTGAATTTTTTAAATTGCAGCAGTATCTAGCAATACTTTTGTGGTATGGTAATAAATTACGTAGTTGGTTTGCAACGTATTTTTCTTTATGCTTTTATTATCGGTAATTGCGTGCTGATATAACCGTTAAGACAGTCAAATAAAACATTTGACTATGGAAAATAGTACAAAGAAAATATTATAAGTAGATATGTAGGTGGACACTATTTTCGAGAATAATATGTATTTGAAAGTTCAGGCAAGGGCCAGTGCGGCGCTGGTGGGATCATGCAGGGAAATATAACATTGCAACGCTACATTCGAGCTATTTAATTAATTAATTTATTAGCGGGCGTCTAAACATTATTATAGGTAGTAGCGAAGTAAGTAGGCCCTTGATATTTACATTATTAGTCGTTCTACAACCGTCACTGTTAAACATTCTCCATAGATGTGGCTAATTAGTAATTGTTATCGCAATTTCCTTGTACGTTACCAATTCACGCCCAGGGTCGGCTTTGGATTGTAACTTCGTCTAATTTTCTTACAATTGTTTTCGTCCCTTAACCACCTTGTTTTTCCCACCAAACCTTATAAAGAAAAGAGTAAGTAAATATGTAGGTGGGCACCATTTATATTAAACGTAAAAAGATTTTAGGAAAAATTTTGACTACCTAATTATCCGTACCACCTTACAACCCTCCAATGTCTTGAAATATGTCTGGGATCATTCCATGACTTGCAAAAAAGTATACTCCACAATAACTTACGCTAATCTTCAACTGAAAGGATAATATGGAAGAGGCATTTGTCCATCCTATTTGTATTTTTATTTGTTATTCATTCAGAATGACCCTCACGAATGGCATATTTGAAGGTTTATTATTTAGGATCATACTATATTTTTAACAGATAGGAATACAGGAGTATTTAAACTTTGAAACAACAAAAATTATAGTCAAATTTTATTTATTATGAAAGTGTTTGATACATATACGTAGACATATTATAATATCCGAAAAGTAACATTAATTGCTACAAGTGATACTATTTCCTTTGAAGTTCAAATCGATCACTGAAATGCAGTTCAGTAGGTGGAGCATTTTCTATTAGCCAGACCGATCCATTTTTTCCTTTAACAATAGCCGAAACTATTCCTTTCGCTAGGTCTTCAGTACTGGAAGATAATAAAATTTTATTATTAAATTTCCGAATTGTTCTTGACGTAACTTTTAATTTGTATTTTATAATCAACTGAAAACAAATTTTGTCCAAGGACTTCTATTTATTTCTGTTTGTTAGTTATTCCAAATTTACTGAGTTATCAGTTTTGTTATTTTTGATAACGACTGCTATTTGCAGCAGTGTGTTGAATTTATTTTTTGGATGCTGTCGTTATAGGTTAACATTAATTTTTAACAGATAAGTAGATAGTCTAGTTTATATAAATAAAATAAGAAAGTGTTTACGTTTTTATCTAGTTTATCAAATTTGACTTTCTCTATTAGACTTTATGACTTTATTTTGGCATAACTTTTCGTGTTCAAATTGTACCGATTGAGAAAGAATTTTATATAGGGCTGAAATTCAATTAGAAAAATGGAATTATAATTGCGAGAGAATAACGTAAACGAGAAGCAAAAGAAATTGATAAGAACGGATTAAGTTCTAGATCAGTAATTTACTGAAAGTAATACTAAACGTTCAATCATGTTTGATCTCATCTGCACGCCATAGACAGTCTCGCTAAACCACCCACTAAATACAGTAATTTATTAGAAGTACCAGGCATGGTAAGTGAGTAAATATTACGAAGGGAGTTAGAAGGGAGATGCACACTGTCATCGCTACTTTTTAATCTATATATCGAAGATGGGAGAATCATCATTAAAGATAGGATAACTTTAGGGATAGATGTACAGGGGCAAATGATTAGTATGCAAATGATATAGCAGTAATAGAATCTAGCAACAAGGATTAAGATTTAATATTAGGTGAAGTTCAAGGCAATTAAGGGTTGAAAGGTTACTATTTATGAAGAACCAACACCGACGTTTCGCTTTGAGAAAGTCTCCCAAATAGAGGCGAAACGTCGGTGTTGGTTCTTCATAAATAGAAACCTTTTAACCCTTAATTGTCTTGAACTTTACTTACTATTATCCAAACTAAGGGATGAAATGGAGAATAGAGTTAGAGATAGCCTTAAATAAAATGGAAACGGTACTGACAAAACAGTATGATGTGAAAATAAGTAAAAGTAAAACAAAAATATTTGTATGTAAGGGAACGAAATGTTGGGAAAGAATGAATATAAAGATAGGAGATGAAAAATTAGAAGAAGTTGCTCGTTTTCGCTACCTAGGAAGTCATTGTAAAGGAGCAATAAAGATATAAAACAAAGGATTAGTGCAAGGTTGAAAAAGGTTGTTAAAGGTGTATGTCTGAAGCCCGAATAATAAAAATACCATGGATAGAAAAGGGTAGAAATGAGGAGGTATTAGAAATAGTAGGAGAACAGAAGGCGCTACAGAAGTCAAGTCTTATTTCTCCCTTAGATTTCAAACTTTTATAAATATCTTTCTCGATCAGTGTATATCGGAAACAATGCTTACGACTGCATAACAGTATTTTGAAGTAGGCCATGTAGATGATCTGACAAATCTGGGTTTATAATTTTGCCTTCCAACTGCAGTAGTGGCGTGTCTGTGGGCCCAGGACATACGGTGACAACTTTAACGTTTGTCCTCTTGTAATGTGTTTCGTTTCCGATACTTCGACTGAAGCTAAGGACAAAAGCTTTTGTTCCGCAGTAAGCAGGAAACGTATCTAAAGGATCTATGCCAGCACAGGACGATATATTGACAATAACACCTTCTTCGCCTTTTTTGTACTTCGGAAGGTACTCCTCGAGTGCGAACAGCGTTCCATATACAAGACCCTTCTAAAAGCGTAATAGGTTTATGAAGAAAATGGATTTCTGGATTCTAACCGTGCCTCCTTGTTGGTGAAATCCCTATGAAGGATCATGGTGACATCAAAAGTATTTCATGTTTCGTCTTCTATTAGAAGGAACGTCTTCAGTTCAGCAACAATGTTGGAAACAACGTGAAGTTCCTGAACATGTCCCTTGTGATAGGAGACGAAACATCAAATACTTTTGATGCCACCTTGATCCTTTTTACGACACCATGATTCATCATAGGGATATTTCATCAATAAGACAGCAACTTTTAATAGATTTATGTTAAAAATAAATAGTAATAAGGTAAAAACCAATTTTTGAAGAATCTTTAATAGTTTAGGTAACCTAGTGTTACAGAGCTTTAGTAGTAGGGTTTTGCGAATGCTTTTTAGATTCTCCCTTACTCAGTATCATTTGTATTTACAGTAAGTGGTGAAAGTTCCATTAAATATTGTTAAGTAGTTTATGAATTACTGGCAAAAATAATTTTATGGTAGGTAGATAAGTTATAAAAGTATTACAATATCTTTATTTTTATTAATTTATTTGTATCATGCAAAATGTTACGTAATTAACTAATTACATACCTCAATAAATTTTGTATGATACGGTTGCATTACTGATAATAATATATAAATAAATATTATCGTACTTTTATAAGATTACCTGTGTACCAATTATTCATCGACATACGGCACGTATTCTCTTTCATATAGCCTTACTTTACAATAAGCAAATAATGTAGACCGTACGTCGTAAGTATATCCAGTTAATTATGACTTACGCGTAACCACCAATTCTCAAGGGTAGTTTACATCGCCTTCTTATAAACAAATGTCAATTTAGAGACACCAATCAACAACGTTTACGTTAAAAATTCATTAAATTATTATAACTGCATTCAAAACATGTCCTGTTGATTACCAGGATTATAATTTACGGGAAGAAAATACTTCATTCTCTTCTGGGAATTCAAATCCGAAAGGGAATGCTTTGAAGCATTTCATTCGCTAGTATTCCAGTAGGGTAGTGTACCTTATATACTTCTAGTATTCCATCCCCTAGTATACTATTATCGTAATTTTCAATAAATAAAACATTTAAAACTACCGTGATAAAAATTTTAGAAAAACAGCCTAACACGTGATTCGATATTTTCAAAAAGGAAGAGTGGAGTTCTACCTTATTACTTTTTAAAAACAGGATGTATATCACTTACACAATTAATATCTATTTCTTTTTCCCAAATGGCATCATTCATGATACCTGCGTTATTAATAACAATATCCAATTGCTTAAAGTGTTCTACAGTTGCTTCGAAAGCATCTAAAAAGTTCATAGATATTATTTAATAAATTCTCTATATTTTTTGAAAATTAATAAAAAAAATCTTAAGTGAGTACCTACCTTTTAAGCTGGCTTTGTTGGTAACGTCGGTTTTTTTAAAGATTACCTTTCCCGAGCCAAATTCTTTTTCAATTTCAGCGACTGCTTTTTTTCCCAAATCTGGATTTAAATCGGCTATACCAGCTCCCTAATGATTTCCGGAAATAGGTAGTGTTGAAATAAAATAATTGAGAAGATTCATCATCTGTTATTACCTTTAAACCATTTTTGAACAGTTCCTTAATTGTTTTCAAGCCTATTCCTGAAGCACCACCAGTTACCAAAACCACCTTTCCTTTAACGGAAAACATGAGTAGGTACGATTTTTCTTGAACACAAAAAAATTTACTTAACTTTCAAATTATTTTTCGCGTATCTGCAACTTCGATGGGAATCGAGTCGTTTTGGTTTACCTATATATGGTTGAGAACAATCTTATCTTTGAAATATGAGGTCAATTTTTATGTGTTGAGTACAAAAATATATCGCATTTGTATACCTATACACTAGTGGCAAGTTGAGAACATAACATACAGACATTCTATTACTGTAATATTTTTGTCGCTTGTTGGTTGTGATTAACAGTAACTAATTACCATGATTTTGGCACCTTGCAGACTTTAAGCGTTTTATATAGCAACTATAAGGTTCGTTTTAATGGTTTCAATTCAACCCTTCCGTTGAAAATCCGCTAACCAAGAATTAAAATTTCATTGGTTTAGTGTTTAAATGACTTTTTTTGACTTGACTTACTATAGTTTCGGGCGTTGGTAAAGGTGGCATTTAAAGGAAAACCCACTAGAACAAAGATATGAATGATTAACCGCAGTAATCTTACTAGCTAATGCTGGGTACCCGATTATCCGGTGCATCTCTAATTTAAAGCCTTTACGCTTTGGTCAAAGGATTTTGAGAAATCGGTTAATTTAGAGCAGTTTTCAGAAAATTAGATGATATTTTCAGGTACACATGGCTTTGGGTACACACAAAAAAAAATAAAAACAGAAATACTGGTACTGCAAATAGGGGAAGAACGAATATAAAGATAGGAGACAAAAAATTAGAAGAAGTGGCCGATTTTAGGTATCTAGGAAGTCAGATAAGTCAGGACGGAAGGAGTAGTAAGGATATAAAGCAGAGGATAGCGCAGGGTCGAGTCGCTTTCAATAAAAAGAAGTCACTTCTATGNGTCTATAGAGATGGCATTAATAGACTGGAACACCGCTATGAGAAATGTATCAGCCTTGGAGGAGATTATGTTGAGAAATAAAAAAAAAAAATTTTTAAAAACCTTGTTTTTCTTGGTCAGGCCGGAAACTTATCAATCCACCCTCGTATGTAGCGCGGCGCTGTACGGGTGCGAAACATTGACAGTGGGCGCAGTTGAAAATAAAATGCTAGAAGCGTTGGAAATGTGGTGTTAAAGGTGACTGATGAGGATACCGTGGATAGAGAAGGTTAGAAATGAAGAGGTATTAGAAAGAATAGGAGAACAGGGAACTCTATGGAAGTAAATAAGAAATAGGCGAGATAGGTTAGTAGGACACCTTCTCAGGCATGAAGGTCTAGTCAGAGACATATTAGAGACAGAAATGGGAGTTCGAAGGGGTAGATGGGTAGACCTAAATTAGATTACTATTCGCAAATGGTTAAGGATGTGGGTTGTTCTAGTTTTAGGGAAATGCAAAGATTAGCTCAGGATAGGAAAAAGTGGAGGTGCGTGTCCAACCAGTCTTAGGACTGACGATCTTATAATGATGACATATACACAGTCGAACTTATGTAACTCTAACTTGATGGAAAAGATCAAAAAAATCAGTCAGGCTAGTCATGATGTTACAGTAGATAAAGACAACACCAAAGGAGTAATTACTCTACCTTTTAAGCTGGCTTTGTTGGTAACGTCGGTTTTTTTAAAGATTACCTTTCCCGAGCCAAATTCTTTTTCAATTTCAGCGACTGCTTTTTTTCCCAAATCTGGATTTAAATCGGCTATACCAGCTCCCTAATGATTTCCGGAAATAGGTAGTGTTGAAATAAAATAATTGAGAAGATTCATCATCTGTTATTACCTTTAAACCATTTTTGAACAGTTCCTTAATTGTTTTCAAGCCTATTCCTGAAGCACCACCAGTTACCAAAACCACCTTTCCTTTAACGGAAAACATGAGTAGGTACGATTTTTCTTGAACACAAAAAAATTTACTTAACTTTCAAATTATTTTTCGCGTATCTGCAACTTCGATGGGAATCGAGTCGTTTTGGTTTACCTATATATGGTTGAGAACAATCTTATCTTTGAAATATGAGGTCAATTTTTATGTGTTGAGTACAAAAATATATCGCATTTGTATACCTATACACTNCTGTATGACTACGCCATTCGTTCAATTACGATTAGTTGTTGTCTACACCGCAAGGATGATTATTGGAAAAAAAAATTCATATATGAAAATCTTTAAAACCGAAAATTCCAAAAGCAAAAACAATGTTTTTATGTAAAATCTGATAAAGGTAATTCGTTCGTTATTACTGATAAATTAGATTATATTGACAAAGTAAACAGTAGGTGCGTTATCGGATGAACTCTTGGAAACAAACAACTGTTACCTAGAATTGTTAGAGAAACTAACAATGACATGTCAGAAAACAAGAGTGTTATGTTATTGACAGAAAAATTAAACGGTATTTTCACATATCTGACCCAAAAGTTTCAAGATTATATTGTTTACCAAAAATTCACAAATCGGGCAATAAAGTAAAGTCAACTATTCAAATATTAATTTTCCTTCGTATTTCTCGAATTTAGACGTCAAATTTAATGGTTTTGCTTTCAAAAACTCTGGTGTTTGTAGATAGAGTGACAATTTGGTTTCTTTGATGACAAAAGCTTCGAGTTACTTAAACCTTTTTCTTCAATGGAAGAATTTTATCGATTAGGAAATTAATAAATTAATAAAACTCACAACATTGTGCTTTAAACACAGTTACACAGTTATTTTCCAAATTCTCGAACTCCAAAATGCAACCATGATTATATTAGAGTTAAAGAAAGTTCGATTTATGGAAACTTTCTGACTTACCGCCAAACTTTTTAATTCTTTTTATATAGCGTATAAAAATATAGAGAAAAATTCGAGTTGGAAAAATAATATGTATCTACGTCAAGGGAACAAATGCGTAATTTTTGAAAATTATTAAAATAGTTACATTTGTTTGATGAATAAAAAAAAATGAAAAACATTGTTTTATCGTATGTTATTACTTTTATTGAAAAGATAATAGTACAGTTTGTTTTTCATTCTGTTCATGTATCTTAAACTTTAACACGAGGTACTTAATTATTACTAATAACAAAAACTTAAGGATGGTCTTATTTCTTTTGGAGTTCCAAACGATCTCTGAAGTAAATTTTAGTTGCGGGACATTCCTCTATTATCCAAGTCGTTCCATTTTTTCCTTTTTCGATTGCCGAAACTATCTCCTCGGCCAGGAATTCTGGACTAAAGAAATATGATGTTAATTCTATTACTATTACATTTGTATGATCATATGAGTGAAGTCAACGTACTTTGTTCTTATAACAATACTATACAACATATCATGCCCTATTTTAATGTGTTTTTTACCTAATCTCAGTAAGTTAACTAAAATTATAACAAAAAAAATTTAAAAGGCATATTAGAACACTACAATTTATGATTTAAAAATATTTAAGTTCGTAATGATTGAAAATGTAAATTGTAAAACTGTTGAAGAAACCCCAAACCGAGGGGCGAAACATCTGGAATATTGTGATACTGAAATCAGTTCGGATTCTTTTTGTTGAAGCATATTTTCAAATATTTATACGTTGATATAATTGAGTTAAAATAAAAAATTAGATGCAGTTTGTAGATCACTCACTTTTGTCTCGAGTAATCGTAATCTTCCAGCATCTCTTCGTAAATTGGATTCAAAAGTTTTCCTTTTAGGTATGACAGTGGAGTGTCAGTTGAACCAGGACATATGGTTATAACTTTCACCTTTGTCCTTTTATAATTAAAGTCGCTTGCAATGCCTCGACTGAATTGTACAACAAAACTTTTCGTTGCACTGTAAATAGGGGTTAACTCGAAAGGGTCTAAGCCTGCAACTGATGCCACATTTACAACAATTCCTTCTTTACTGCTTTTAAATTTTGGGATGTATTCCTCGAGGGCCAAAAGTGTACCGTAAACAACCCCTTTCTGTAACAGTTCAAAATACAATACCTCATGCAGAAAAAAATTACTTAACCAACTTTAAGAAATTTATAATTTATGAAAACTGTCCTAATTAATTTTATTTTACTGTTAGGTAATTAACTCGAGTAATTAAAATCAGACACTTACGCAGTTTATATCAATTTCCTGTTCCCAAATTTTATCGTTCATTATTCCAGCATTGTTAATAACAATATCCAGTTGTTCAAAATTTTTAATGGTTTCTTCAAATGCTTCTATATAGAAAAGCATAATATTTTATTTAGTCTGTCAATTAGTCATATTAGGCAAAGGAGGTAGAAATGTTCGAAACGAATTTAAGGATGTTTGGGAGGTACAATCGGAGACATAAAATTAGAAATTCGTGATTAATTAGGTTTTGCAGCATATCATGAGGTAAATAAATACTATCTGTACTAAAAAAAAGTATACGGTTTGAGAGAAAATTTGGAATTTCACCATAAAATAAGAAATAACGAATAATATGGAAAATTTTTAACTGACTTTTGGCAATGAATATGCCTTGATTTCAACTTCGAAACAAAAAAATATTTAGTTTCAATCTCTATTAATAATGAGCGTAAAACTTTTTAATATGTTTAAATAATAATTAAAACTTTAAAATTGCATTTATTTCAGACAATTATAAATATTATCATTATATTATCAAGTAAAAACGAGATTTTCAGCTAATTTTTCATTTTTTCCTCGATAACCATTTAGTGAATTTGAATAACCTTACGCTAAAGTGATTCTCCAGAGTTCAAGTTACTTATTATAAAAGTTTGAAATTTCTGGTAGCTTTTTTTCTGTTAATAAAAATAAATTTAATCTGTTCGGTTAACGAATCTCCATAAAATGACGTGTAAAATTACAATTTGTTAAAATTTCAATAACTTTTTAACGGTTTAGTGAATCGATTTGTAATTTTTACAGGAGTTTTATAATTGAATGAGGAACGTCCTCCAAAATTTTTATTTGTCTCGTAGCATTTTGACATACCTCCCAAACGTCCTTAAGTACAGGTACAATTAAGTTTTGCTAACCTTTAACGTTGGATTTATTTGCGACATCAGTTTGTTTAAATATGACTTTATTGGCACCAAATTCTTTTGTAATTTCTTGAATTGCTTTTTGTCCAAATTTTGGATTAATATCAGCCAATACTGCCGCCTATATACAGGAAATATATTTTGAAAGTAGGTTATCAAAATAAGAAGTGCCAGTTTTAAGTATAAAGTTAATCCCAAGTCTAAAAGGTCCGTTTAAAAAAAAATCCCTCCAAATAATTTTAACAATAGCGTAACTGTCCCTAGTCTGGCGTAATTACGAGCTTGTAGAGCGGTTTATCTCCATAATGATAAAAAAATAAGTGGCATCAAGTTTATAAATATTTACTTAGAATCAGGGGGGGAGGGACAGATAATTGTTCATTAGGGGCCCTTGTCAAACAAACTAATTCTACTAATTATAAGCTTATTGTGTACTAAAAATTACTAAAATATTTCAGGGGACTGCTGATGCCACGAACCCCAGATAGCTTATGCCATGGTAAAAAACAATTTTTTGCCGTAAAATAAATAACATTTGCTAAAATGTTGATCATAATATTTTTACACTTAAGTTATAATATACAATGAAAAGTCTGTTGTAAATAACGTTATCATGACAACAAAAAAAATCAGCCCAGAAATTCGAAAAAAATAGTTTTTCCTTACCAGCTATCTGTTTCATTTGTTTATTTGCCGATTTAAATAAAAGATGGATTTTTTAATTTACATTTTCGAGTATATATTTGCTTCTATAGAGGTCGAGAACTCAAAACAAANTAAAGTGATTCTCCAGAGTTCAAGTTACTTATTATAAAAGTTTGAAATTTCTGGTAGCTTTTTTCTGTTAATAAAAATAAATTTAATCTGTTCGGTTAACGATTCTCCATAAAATGACGTGTAAAATTACAATTTGTTAAAATTTCAATAACTTTTTAACGGTTTAGTGAATCGATTTGTAATTTTTACAGGAGTTTTATAATTGAATGAGGAACGTCCTCCAAAATTTTTATTTGTCTCGTAGCATTTTGACATACCTCCCAAACGTCCTTAAGTACAGGTACAATTAAGTTTTGCTAACCTTTAACGTTGGATTTATTTGCGACATCAGTTTGTTTAAATATGACTTTATTGGCACCAAATTCTTTTGTAATTTCTTGAATTGCTTTTTGTCCAAATTTTGGATTAATATCAGCCAATACTGCCGCCTATATACAGGAAATATATTTTGAAAGTAGGTTATCAAAATAAGAAGTGCCAGTTTTAAGTATAAAGTTAATCCCAAGTCTAAAAGGTCCGTTTAAAAAAAAATCCCTCCAAATAATTTTAACAATAGCGTAACTGTCCCTAGTCTGGCGTAATTACGAGCTTGTAGAGCGGTTTATCTCCATAATGATAAAAAAATAAGTGGCATCAAGTTTATAAATATTTACTTAGAATCAGGGGGGGAGGGACAGATAATTGTTCATTAGGGGCCCTTGTCAAACAAACTAATTCTACTAATTATAAGCTTATTGTGTACTAAAAATTACTAAAATATTTCAGGGGACTGCTGATGCCACGAACCCCAGATAGCTTATGCCATGGTAAAAAACAATTTTTTGCCGTAAAATAAATAACATTTGCTAAAATGTTGATCATAATATTTTTACACTTAAGTTATAATATACAATGAAAAGTCTGTTGTAAATAACGTTATCATGACAACAAAAAAAATCAGCCCAGAAATTCGAAAAAAATAGTTTTTCCTTACCAGCTATCTGTTTCATTTGTTTATTTGCCGATTTAAATAAAAGATGGATTTTTTAATNTGACAACAAAAAATCAGCCCAGAAATTCGAAAAAAATAGTTTTTCCTTACCAGCTATCTGTTTCATTTGTTTATTTGCCGATTTAAATAAAAGATGGATTTTTTAATTTACATTTTCGAGTATATATTTGCTTCTATAGAGGTCGAGAACTCAAAACAAAAAGTCAAATTATTCGCTTACAACTTTACTTACTATTTTTCATAGTGAACAAATTTTACAATTTTTGCATATTATAATTTTATTTTTATCATTATTATTACTTTTAAGCATTTACGAGACTGTTTAATTTTTAATATTATTTCAATTTATATTTACTTAATTAAAAAAATCAGTCGTATGAAGATGGAACCCCATTATAGCTACTTAGCCCTAAGTGCCAGTGCCTCTAGGTCCCTCCCCCTCCTTAAAGACGGCACTGAAAATAAGTCAAACTGCGTTATCAAGTATAAGCTTGCCTTCAATCCATTTCGAAGCATTTCTTTAGCTGTTACCAGTCCAATTCCTGATGCTCCTCCTGTAATTAATGCCACTTTTCCCTTAATGAAAGGCATAATGAAGAAACTGTTTTCAATATTAAAAAAAAAATTCCAGCTTTCAGACACTGCCTTTTTTTATCGTTATCTAAAACGGTTTGTTTGTTTTTAGCAAAATTTTAACTACAAAACAATCGTTAACTATTTCCGTACACCTCTTATTATAAATAATATAATTTACCGATTCTATACACACCAGCAACAACAAAAATAAAATAAGAGAAGATTCACTTGCAATTGCTTATCAATTCTTTTGTTACAGAAACACGCGAGAGAAAGATGGCAGAAAGAATATTCGTACAAAAAGTTCCAACTGAATGATAGGGTAAGTAATTTTTTATTTATTTGATACCAAATATTTATTTCATTTTTTGAGAAAATAATGACAATTAGATGAGTATTAAAACAAAATATTGTTTTCTGATTCATAAGTTACTTTGAAATATCATATTATAAGAAGCGGCGTAGCGCAGATTTTTACCACCCGGGCCGAAGCCTAAATTTGCCGCCCTTGCTATTTTCTTTGTTTATTTTTTATGATATAGGGATATGAAAATAAATAAAAGTAAAACATAAATGCTGGTATGCAAGGGAAGAAAAAGTACGGAAAGAGCGAATATCAAGATAGAAGACGAAAAATAAGAAGATGTGGCTGATTTTAGATACCTAGGAAGTCAGATAAGTCAGGACGGAAGGAGTAATAGGGATATAAGGCAGAGGATAGCGCAGGGTCGTGTTGCCTTTAATAAAAAGAAGTCACTACTATGCTCGCTAACGAATTATGATATTTTAGAAATTGAGAAAGAATGTTAAATGTGTATGTTTGGAGCGCGGCGTTGTACGGCTGCGAAACATGGACGGTAGGCGCGACGAAAAAGAAAGAAAAGGTTAGAAGCCTTCGAAATGTGGTGTTATAGGCGAATAATGAGGATAACGTGGGTAGAAAAGGTCAGAAATGAAGAGGTATTAGAAAGAATAGGAGAACAGAGGACTCTATGGAAGTCAATAAGAAATAGACGGGATAGGTTAGCATGAAGGTCTAGTCAGAGACATATTAGAGGCAGAAACAGGAGTTAGGAGAGGTAGGGGTAGACCAAGGTTAAATTACTGTTCGCAAATAGTTAAGGATGTGGGTTGTTCTAGTTTTAGGGAAATGCGAAGTTTAGCTCAGGATAGGAAAGATTGGAGGTACGTGTCCAACCAGTCTTCAGACTGACGACCTTATGATGATGATGATGATGATGATAGGGGCGGGGGTCTGGTTGGTGATTATGTTAGTAATATTTATTTATTTATTTTTATGATATTCCGGCGCGCCGACCGTTTCGCACCCGTACAGCACCGCGCTCCAAACATGCACCTTTAACAATCGTTTTCGAATTTCTAAATTAACCATTCGGGAGCACAGAAGTGACTTTTTCTTATTAAAAGCGGCTCGACCCTGTGCTATCCTCTGCTTTAGATCTCAACCACTCCTGAAGGTACCTCTAACTCCTCACAACAAAATGAATAAAAAAAAAATCGACGCTTTAATTGTTAGATATGCGTTTATGTCTGACATCTTCTACTTCGCTTCCATGCTTTTATTTTAAGATTTGGGCCTGCGTCATATCGTAGTAGAAAATGTTAATACGCGCACCCCGGTACATATTATTATTGATTTATTCGGAGGAAAGTTGAAGGCATACTGCACTCAATTTGAAGTTTATTTATTCTCGGTTTTTAGCAACATTTCATCTATTTTTTAAGGCATCAGTCGCCGCTGCTGTTTAGTTAGATGCTTTACGCATCTATTATGTATTGTGGTCTATCTAAAATCATACCTTCAGTAATGTGTTGAACTCTATGTATCTCTCCAATTCTTCAAATAGAAGTAAAACACTGAATAAAAGGCCTATAAGTCAATACCGTTTATTCTTAATTTAAACACATGACTATCAAAATAGCACGGTGTCTATATAAATGTCAGATTAATTTTTCTAGCACAACGTTTTTTTCTCATTTCATACTTCGCACAAGACAGCGTTTTGTTGGTTTCGTTTTATCAGCTGCGTTCTTCAGATCCCTTGCTTTTGTGACGCAAAAGGGGCCTCTTTTGGGTTTTATACATATAATGCAATAAAACAATTCGAAACTTTTAATAAGGGACTTGTTTATATTCAGCCGTACCTACAAATGTATATTACATTTAAAATAAAAAATATATACGTACAGTTCGGATAATTGGTTGACGTTATTTTTAATTTACACAGGTAGAGAAATTCTATTTTTATTAATTACTTAACACATTTCAAAATTATCATTTAATATATGATAAGATTATACATTTTAATTAATGTTCGTTTATACGAATACGATATATTTTATAAAAACCAAAGAGCGTACATTTATGTTTAGAATTTTTACATCAAGAACACATAATTCTACATCTTTTCTAACATCCCATAATGATTTCTTGTATTATAGCTCCAAGTGGCATTTAAAGTAGGATTATGTCTACGGGAGAATTTCAGAGTGGGTCTACGGGTTATTTATAGGATGGTAAACCCCTCAATATTTAATCATTATTTTCCCGGGAAAATTTTTATTATCCCACAATAATGTTTTGTATCTCAGTTCTGAGACTCATTTATAGGATTATACTTATGAGATAATTCAATATTCAATTGATATTTTCCAATAGAAGTTTGTCTTGCCCCAAATTTTTTTTTGTATCTTAAATCTAAGAGTCATTTAAAGTAGTATTGTGTCTAGGAAATAATTTTTCAGAAGGTCTGTGGTTATTTATAACGTGCTTAGTTATTGTAGGACATGAAAAACTTCCGCTGGAAAATAGTAACTTAATATTGAGGGGTTCAGCACCCCATAATTAACCCTAAGACCCGCTGACAAATTAGTTATTTGAAGACGTACTTATAATCTGATTGTATTTGAATATTCATCACTTTAAGGATAATTAATTAACAAGTTGTAAATTAACGTGCGCTTTATTATTTCTACAATAAACTGGAACCTTTTTTAAACAAGCAATAATAGAAATTTTTCACTCATAAACATGTACTGGTATATATTGCAATTGCGTTATATTATATATTTTATATATATTTTGTATTAATAGTATATATACAAAAACAAACTATATCTGTAGTAAACAAGCCTCAATTTTATTGGTTATAGTCTTTTAGAATATTGTCTGGCAAAATTGCATAATTCATATGCTAACCAAGTATTCACATAAATATTATTTTTAATTAATTTTCTTGAAAATATTGTATTAATTTTTAGAAATTGATAAATAGATAAAATATACTGTTAGTGTTGTAGTTTTGTTGGTTAATATTATTTGAAGGTGAACCAACTTCTATTTACGAATTAAATCGGGTTAATGCAATTGAACGCACCTATAAAATCTATTATCTATGGGTCATAAATGTAGAACGAATTTTCATCTATGAGCTTCCGGCTCATTCATCCCATCTTCATCGAGACCTTCGAGGAGGCCACAAATCACCATTTTTGCTGTTGATAAACTGGAACGACGCCTGAAAGTATTTAGCGCTAATCCGTGTTCGACTTTAATTTGATTGTGTGGAATATGTTATTGATTGATGGGTTTCGATTACCTTTGCATAAAATTTCTTTAGCGTGAATGCCATCGGTGGTGTGTTCGTTTCGTGCTCCAACGTGGGGTCCATTTGGATTTGCCTTTTCATTGATCTACTGTGAATATTTATAGATTATTTGTTTATTTGAGGTCGAATAATTACGGTTTTGTTAGAGTTTTTGAATTTTGAAAACAGGTTTAGGCGATGGTCGTGGATGATTCTTATTTTTGTGACTATGGCGTGAAGTGTTTCTTTTGTTTCAAAGCCGAAATATGTAAAATATAGGTTTAAAAATATTGTAAATATCTGATGGAAAAGTTTCATTTTTACCGTGTTACTCTTTACGTTGGGTTTTAACGACTTTTTTTTCTGTAATATAGGTTTGCTTTGGAGTAACACCCTTGGATTAGATGAGCAAGCTACTTATGGATGTGATGTTTGTGGCAGTCGTACATTTTCAAGGATGCTTCTAATGAGCTGTTTGAAAAATACATAGGACATGATGTTTACAGTGGTAATTATCATTAAAATAAAGTAAAATCTAATGAACATAATAACTAATATTAAGTTGTTTCAACAGGTTTCCAATAAAACTTCATAAATGAACATGGAGAGGATAAATGGAACAGGTGAAGAAAAAAAGAAGGCCAAACCCCATTTACGTTTCTTTCTTTTGGCTTTGGAATGGGCCATTTGTGGAAAGGGTAAAAAAATCTTTAGGTATTTATGAAGTTGTATTTATGAAATGGCTTTACAATAATTACTACTATAAATTTTTACTCTTGGATTCTATTGGTTATGTTTTGTTAATCAACATTAACATTAAATTGTTTCAACAGGTTATCATTCAAGGAAAAAGGAGGCCAAAAATAATGGGTACTCAAAACATGGAAATGTGGAGTCCCATTAATACTCGCTCCATCTGGACATGAATGGTGCAATTTTTAGAAAATACATGGACTCCGATTTGTAAATGTGGTATAATCCTCGTCAGAGGCACTTTTTTGTTGTCAACGATTATTAATAAAACTCCATCAGTAATCACTAACATTACAGGTAAGCTATTTTAAATCTTCATTGATTAATTAATTGCATCATGTTTCTCATCGGTTGTCATCTATTCTCCACAGCATAAACTAACGTTATCGTGCATCTATGAGTTTTAGTTTATGATCTGTGGTCGTTGTTCATTTGAACTATTATCTCTATTGTTCAAAGCATAACTTAACTATCATGCATCTACGGTTATTTCTATTGCCATTGCCTTTAGCATTTATCTATGTATCATGTCATTATTAAAAGTAACACCATTTTGTAGTTTATGTATTTTACTTTGTTTTAGGTGATTTTTAATGCCTTCCTTTATTTTAATTGTAATTAATATAT